GCGCCCTGTAGATGCCAAGGTCTCAGCTATAAATGCATTTCCCGCACCTACCACCAGAAGAGAGCTACGCCACTTTTTAGGGATGGTTGGCTACTACCGTAGTTTCTGTAAATATTTCTCTGCGGTAGTTGCTCCATTAACGGATTTGCTCAGTCCGGCGAGAAAATGTGTATGGTCTGAAGATTGTCGTACTGCTTTCAACACTGCTAAAGCACTCTTATGTAGTACTCCTGTTCTTGCTGCACCAGATTTTGAACGACCATTTAAACTGGAGGTAGATGCAAGTGCCAGAGGTGCTGGTGCTGTTCTACTGCAGCCGGACCAGAGTGGAGTGGACCATCCTGTCTGTTATTTTTCGGGGAAATTTAACAAATGTCAGACCAACTATTCCACCATTGAACAAGAAGCTCTAGCTTTGTTGTTAGCTCTGCAGTACTTTGAAGTTTATGTTGGTTCCAGTGCATTACCAGTGATAGTGTATACTGACCATAACCCCTTAGTTTTTCTCCACCGGATGTACAACCAGAACCAACGCCTTATGCGTTGGGCACTTGTAGTGCAAAATTATAATTTGGAGATCCGCCACAAAAAGGGGTCGGATAATGTGTTGGCAGATGCTTTGTCTCGTGTTTAAAGAACTAGGTTTTTTGTTATCCCGTTAGGATGCGGTTGATCTTTGAATTCTGGGTGTTGTGATGGTACGTGTGTGGTTTGCTCTTTTAAGGGTGGGAGTGTTACGGATACAGGTATCCTGTGTGTGTTTTTGTGTTTTTCCTCTCCTTCTGCCCTAATCACAGGTGTCCTGTATGTTCCTGATTGGTGGTCGTTGGGGTGTCTGCTGATTGCTGAGGTGGACCAATCAGTGGACATTCCTCTGCATTGCACCACCTGTTTCTGGTTTTTCAATTACACATCCCATTGTTTTAAAAGCCAGTCAGTTGTGTTTGTAAACAGAGACTATTTTCCGTATGTGAGTATGGATACTGTGGTGTCCTGTGTGTTGTGTACTCACTCATTTGCTGGTTACTCTGTTTGGTAACTTTGTTGTGTGTGTCTGGGAAAAGGGGGATTTAAGCAAGTTGCCCTTGGGCATACATTACCCGTAGGAAGAAAACAGTCTAAAAACACTAGTTAGACCTGAGCGGACCACCCACTGTAATTTTTGTATGATTAGCAGTAGCTTAGCGGTTCTTGAGGCAGGCAAGACCAGTTTAGTTTTTTTTTACACTATTGTTTAATTTCTTGGGTCCTGCTCAGCCCTTTTTCCCAAACCTTTACCGTGTGTTCAAAATAAACATTTTATGTTTGACGGTAGTTTATGGTTGTCGTGTAGTTTTTGTTCTCACTGTTTCATGTTACGATTCTAATTTGCATGAATTATGTTACGGGTCTCTTGTCCATCCACCCTAGACGTTTAAAGCCACAGGGTTCGTAACAGCCACGCTGGAGAAGTGTGCTCTTCACGGATGAATCCCGGTTTCAACTGTACCTGGCAGATGGCAGACAGCGTGTATGGCGTCATGTGGGAGAGTGGTTTGCTGATGTCAATGTTGTGAACAGAGTGCCCCATGGTGGCGGTGGGGTTATGGTATGGGCAGGCATAAGCTACGGACAATGAATACAATTGCATTTTATCGATGGCAATTTGAATGCACACCAAGGCGATATCCTGAGGCCCATTGTCGTGCCTTTCATCCGGCGCCATCACCTCATGTTTCAGTATGATAATGCATGGCCCCATGTTGCAAGGATTTGTTCCCAATTTCAGGAAGCTGAAAATGTCCCAGTTCTTCCATGGCACGCGTACTTACCAGACATGTCACCCACTGAGCATGTTTGGGATACTGTGGATCGACGTGTACGACTGCGTATTCCAGTTTCCGCCAATATCCAGCACATTCGCACAGCCATTGAAGGGGAGTGGGACAACATTCCACAGGAGATGTGTCGTGCTGCATGAGGCAAATGGTGGTCACACCAGATACTGACTGGTTTTCTGATACACACCCCTAACAAAAAAAAAAAGTATCTGTATTTCCAGTCATGTGAAATCCATAGATTAGGACCTAATTAATTATTTTCAATTGACTGATTTCCTTATATGAACTGTAACTCTTGTTATTGTTGCATGTTGTGTTTTTATTTTTGTTCAGTGTAAATCTTTTGTCTTACCCATTCACCCTCTGAATGGCACAAACAGTGCCTTCGGAAAGTATTCAGACCCCTTGACTTTTTCCACATTTTGTTACGTTACACCCCCCCCCCCCCCCGAATCTACACACAATACCCTATAATGACAAAGCAAAAACTGATTTATATAAATTTTTGCATTTACAGAAGTATTCAGACCCTTTACTCAGTACTTTGTTGAAGCACCTTTGGCAGCAATTACAGCCTCAAGTCTTCTTGAGTATGACGCTATAAGCTAGGCACACCTGTATTTGGGGAGTTTCTCCCATTCTTCTCTGCAGATCATCTCAAGCTCTGTCAGGTTAGATGGGGAGCATCGCTGCAAAGCTATTTTCAAGTCTCTCCAGAGATGTTTGATCGGGTTCAAGTCCGGGCTCTGGCTGGGCCACTCAAGGACATTCAGAGACTTGTCCCGAAGCCACTCCTGCGTTGTCTTGGCTGTGCTTAGGGTCGCTGTTCTGTTGGAAGGTGTACGTTCGCCCCAGTCTGAGGTCCTGAGCGTTCTGGAGCAGGTTCTCATCAAGGATCTCTCTGTACTTTGCTCCGTTCATCTTTTCCTCGATAGTGACTAGTCTCCCAGTCCCTGCCGCTGAAAAACATCCCCACAGCATGATGCTGCCACCACCATGCTTCACCGTAGGGATGATGCCAGGTTTCCTCCAGACTTGACGCTTGGCATTCAGGCCAAAGAGTTAAATCTTGGTTTCATCAGACCAGAGAATCTTGTTTCTCATGGTCTGAGAGTCTTTATGAGCCTTTTGGCAAACTCCAAGCGGCCTGTCATGTGCCTTTTACTGAGGCATGGCTTCCGTCTGGCCTCTCTACCATAAAGGCCTGATTGGTGGAGTGTTGTAGAGATGGTTGTCCTTCTGGAAGGTTCTCCCATCTCCACAGAGGAACTCTGGAGCTCTGTCAGGGTGGCCATTGGGATTTTGGTCACCTCCCTGACCAAGGCCCTTCTACCCCGATTGCTCAGTTTGGCCGGGCGTCAGCTCTAGGAAGAGTCTTGGTGGTTCCAAATGTCTTCCATTTAAGAATAATACAGGCCACTGTGTTCTTGGGAACATTCAATGCTGCATAATTTTTTTGGTACCCTTCCCCAGATCTCTGCCTCGACACAATTCTGTCTCAGAGCTCTACGGACAATTCCTTCGACCTCATGGCTCGGTTTTTGCTCCGACATGCACTGTCAACTGTGAGACCTTATATAGACAGGTGTGTGCCTTTCCAAATCATGTCCAATCAATTGAATTTACCACAGGTGGACTCCAATCAAGTTGTAGAAACATCTCAAGGATGATCAATGTAAGCAGGATGGACCTGAGCTCAATTTCGAGTCTCATAACAAAACGTCTGAATACTTATGTAAATAAGGTATTGTGTGTAGATTGATGAGGAAAAAATTGAATTTAATCCATTTTAGAATAAGGCTGTAACGTAACAAAATGTGGAAAAGGTAAAGGTGTCTGAATACTTTCCGAAGGCACTGTATACACAATCAATGTCTTGATTGTCTCAAGGCTTAAAAATCCTTCTTTAACCTGTCTCCTCCCCTTCATCTGATTGAAGTGGATTGGACAAGTGACATCAATAAGGGATCATAGCTTTCACCTGGATTCACCTGGTCAGTCTATGTCATGGAAAGAGCAGGTGTTCTTAATGTTTTGTGTACTCAGTGTATAGTAACAATAGTAGTTAGGAATCAACTTGCTCTCTCCCTTTACCAGCCAGTTGAAGGAAGAGTCGGTTAGAGCCGAGGCGATGAGTGTAGAGAGCACCACCTTGCGTTCTCATATAGAAGAGGCCTCTGTCCAGGCTGTGGAACTGGAGAGAAGACAGGGAGATAGTTGAGAAGGACATAGAGGTGTCGAGGACGGAGAGCTTGGACCTACACCACCTTACTTACCAGCCAGGAGCAGGGACTGGAGCAGTGTCAGATCAGCACAGCAGAGCCAGGCTGAACTAGCATGCCTAGAGGCCATCCTCAGCCTGCTGCATCTCAGAGAGGTGAGCCTAGCTCCATACTCTCTGCTACACTCTCACACCAGTACCTCTTTACATGTTGTATGCTGTATGTGCCCCATGCAACCGGAGTGCTACCTGCTAATTGCTAACTCAGCATACCCTCAATATAAGGCTGTTCCAGACAAAGTTGGTGGTACAAGTTTACTATACTGTTATGTAAAAGTGACTTAACTATTTGTTATAGAGCAGAGGGGGATCACTCTGTGCTAAGCCTTGTCTGCCAGCTCCTGTGCCACCATGTGATGTCCCCAAACTCAAGCCAGGTGATTTCCCTGGCTTACTGTCCAATACTACACATCGTATTGTAGTCTATATATAGCACATCTTGAATTTCCCATCTCTAGCCCATGCATACAGTAGAGTAGGTGAACTCAAAAAATTTCCCTCGTATTTTCCTTGTATTCCATCATGTAATGTTGTCGATACACATGAAGTACGCAAAGTATGTTTGTATCCTGCAACACCACCCAGACAGACCACCAGCTACAGAAACTACACACAGAGCTGCAGGAGAGGACTGTACACATCAACCAGCTGGAGAGAGAGGTAAGGATGGACACATTAATAGTGTACTGTACCACCATTTTCATTATGAGTGGTCTCAAATCAAGGAAAAGGGTTGTATCTCAGAGGAGTTACATAGTGTCACCTATCAGGAAGAATTTGGGTCACTCACAGAATGAGTTATCAGGCCTTGAACTAGTGCCTGAAACAAAATATAACTTGTTGTGTACTGTATGTGTGACTGATGTCTGTCCCCTAGTGATGAATTAGTTGTATTGCAGTTATGGAGGAATAATACCAGCCTGGCAGCTGCAGAGAAACAGTTAGAGAAGAAGGAATGGAGCATTTTCACAGACTGTAGAGAAGACCCCTGCACTAGAGCAGAACCTGTTGGTAATGATAAACCACAACACACACACACACACACACACATGCTTTCACTGACACTTACACGTTGGATCTGTCTCAATCCACAATGATGCTGCCTTATGAGGCCTTTGGATTTAAACACACCCAGTTCTCCATCCACACTCACTTACATACGCATCCTTTCACACACATAGGCTATATTAAGTTCAGGTTGACTAGTTAGTTAGTTGATTAACTATATGGTTTGAAACATGGAAGAGCAGCAGTATCCAGCACTTTAAAACTACTCTGGACTTGAAGAAGAGGGACTCCCAGCAGGCATTGGAGGAGTCTCAGTGAACTGGCTCGGAGCAATCGAAGGAGCTAGAGGATCAAATCAAAATAGGGAGAGGATTCATGACTTCAGTTCCCTTTATTCACACTTTACTGTTCATAAGGATTCACCCAAGGCTCCAATAAGCAATGCCATAAACATCACGCACATCTGATCTTATGTTAACATAGATGTTTGGGTACCTGCAAAGGTGCTTGTGTGTATACTACAGTCATGTCATACATGTGTTTCCTGCCTGTTTCTTGTGATTCATGTCTGCCTGTCCTGTACAGTTGGAGATATCTCTGAAGTGGTCAGTTGGTAGAGCATGGCGCTTGTAACGCCAGGTTAGTGGGTTCGATTCCTGGGACCATCCATACGTAAAATGTATGCACGCATGAATGTAAGTCGCTTTGGATAAAAGTGTCTGCTAAATGACATATATTATAAAGCAGAAACACTCTCAGATAGCGGAGTTGGAGAAAGCCTTCTCTTCAGCCCAGCATGAGAACAGGAGGCCCAGCACTGACTCAACATATCCATGGCTAGTGCAGTAACCCCAGCCCCAATCATGTCAATCTCTTAGGAGACCAAGACAAGGAGGCCTTAAGAGGTCTCAGAGTGCAGGCTACAGAGTCTACCACCAAGGTAGACTCTGTACTTAACTCCTTGTGCATTTTCTCAACTCTCTCAGTCAACTCAATTATGCCATAATAACATGTGATCTTTTCATTTCTCATGATAATTGCTAGTTAGATCAGGCTTTTTTCATATTTTTCTGCCCTGTTGAAGGTGAGGTTTTTGGAGACAGATGAGTTGAGTAGCTGTGTGCAGCAGATACAGGGAGTGAAGGGACGCTATGAGAGAGAGAGCTGGAGACACGAGCCAAAGAGGTATAACGTCATTAAGATCTCGATAGTTTCTTCATTTCCTGTACAACACTCACACACAGTGTATTTCGCATGTTGCATCTGTGGGTGGAACATTGTGAAGGAAATGAGACTAGAAAATATTCTAACTGGTAAAGTATAGGGGTGTAGACTAGCTAGAGACACCCAAACAGGCACTGTCCACCTATTCAGTTGTTAGTGTTTAGTCACCATTTTGTTTGTTCTTCCAACTGATAAAACCTCACTGAAGAAGAAGGCACTCCCTGAATCCCAAATCAGCCTCTACGCCCTACCCCCTAGGCACTTCTATATATCTGAGAGTAGAGCAGGGTGCAGAGCAGGGTTATTAAAATAGTCCTCATATCTGTTAATAACTGACTGCATGCTTGCTGCTCATACTGTTCATGAGTGTTTTGAAAAGCTTTGTTGTTTAGACAGATACTATAGTTTAAACTGATTACCTCAGGCTTTCAGGGGGTGACTACACTCTTAGAAAAAAAAGGTGTTAAGTAGAACCATATAGGGTTCTTCGGTTTGTCCCTATAGGGGAACCAAAATGTGGTTCTAGCTAGAACCCTTTGCAGAGGGTTCTACCTAGAAACCCTATATGTAGGGTTCTTCATAGAACCCCCTGTAAATGGTTCTTCCTAGAACTCTCTATGACGGGTTACGCCTAGAACCCCCTATGAAAGGTTCTACCAAGAACCCTTTTATAATTGAAGGGTTCTTCCTAGAACTCTCAATTAACAGTTCCACCAGCCTTATTAGCCTTTAAAATTAAACTCTTTATGACAATACATTACAACAACACCTGCTCTTTCCATGACATAGACTGACCAGGTGAAAGCTGATCATGATAGTTGTACCCCAACACAGGGCCTGGTTGTACCCCAACACAGCGGTGTTAAGAATCTCCTGGTTTACAGGTCACATCAGGCCTGCAGATCATATTATGCTGGCTTGAAAAGTCATGTGAAATTCCTATTGCCAGAGTGAGGATATCCAACAATTGGAACTTTTAATCACCCACAACCTGTATTCAGCATGACTGCCAGGGTAGTGTAGGTTGATTCATGGGACTACCTAAATTATCTCAAGTAGGACAACCATCTCAGTAACAGGTTCAATAAGTACAACTACTAACAGATTGGATTAGTTTATAAAAATGTATGTTATTTATCTTTGTGTAGCATGATTAATCAACAAATCAGTGTACATGCAAAAACACAGACATTGAAACAAACAATTCTGAAAATCAACCTGTAATAGAGCATACTTGGAAATGTGATAATGATGGGCGTGGTTTTGAGTGTTTTACTCCACAGAGTCAAAATGTCACAATCACACTCAACTCTGTTTATTTAAACCAACACAGGGGTTATTGTACACCACTGAGTGTTGAATCTAACTCCTGAATCAACACTAGACATGTTACACTGAAAAATCAACAGTAGGGAATACCAGATACATCCATAAATATTCCCATATACAGTTTAAAACAGTCTCACACCTATCTTTTTAAACTTATCAGATGAGTCACACTCCTGATGTTAAAGTTTAAACACTGAGGTAATAATAAAGGGATACTTTGGGATTTTGGCTTTATCTACTTCCACAGAGTCAGATGAACTCGTGGATCCCATTTTTGTGTCTCTGTGTCCAGTGTGAAGGAAGTTATAGGTAGTTTCGCGAGCCAATGCTGACTAGCATTAGCACAATGACTGGAAGACTATGGATATCTGCTGGCATGCTAGCTGACACGCATAGACTTCCAGGATGAAAAAGGTTCAAGGTAGAACCCTATCCCTCCGCAAATAACCCTTTTGGAACCATTTTTTCTAAGAGTATATAGTATAGTGTGTAAAAAGGAACTATTTGTTCAAATATTCAGTTTACCAGACAATGTTATTATCACGCTAGGTTTGGAGATGAGGTGAGAGGGTTCAGTTCACACTATGTACGGTCGGTGCGTGTGTGTGTGTTTGTGTGTTTCTCCAGGTGGGCCAGTTGGAGAAAGAGAAGGCACTAGCCTCCAAAATGCTGAAGAGAAGACAGCAGAGAGCCCAGGAAGCACTAGAGAGAGACTGCAGGAGGCCAGTCAGCAGGCAGAGAGACATGAGAGTGAAGCCCTGCAGCTCTCTAGCCCTGTCACGTGAGACTAGTTTTAACTCCCTCTACTGTACTCTACTCGGCTCTACGCTACGCTACGCTACGCTACTGCCAAGCACTGCACAACACTGTGTAGCGGTCATGGTCCCGTGATGAGGTAGCCCCGCCTGCGAACTTCAAAACCAGTGTCTGCCCTCAGCCCAAGAGAGAATTTCCTATTGGTATAACATTCTAAGATGTTGGTTGCTCCCATGGGAGACCCAGGTTCATATCCTGCGTGTTACATTGGTGCCCAATGTGGGGTGGTTTCAAAGTGGGGGCGATTGTAGCGGGCATGAGTTGGTCACGGTCATGGGATGAGGTAGCCCCGCCTGCGAACTTCCAAACCAGTGTCTGCCCTCAGCCCAAGAGGATTTTCCTATTGGTCTAAGACGTTGATTGTTCCTTGGGAGATCCGGGTTTATATCCTGCGTGGTATAACTGCATGCAAACGACTGCTATTAAATGATTCACTGTACTGAGACGAGGCTGCTTGTTGAGGTTCTTGAAAATTATATGATACTGTAATAACAATAATAGATACACTTTCAAGTATAGGTTTTTTCCAATTCCCAGACCCAACACTAAACCTCCATTCAGGAGTCGGTGGGTGGAAGTTCTATCAACGTCTGACTTCCACCCTCACCAAGTGATAAGTCTGTCTTATACTAATCAAGCTAGCTACTGATTGCAGCAGTCTGGTGATTAAAAGTGAAATGAAGCAAAGTCAAACACCTGTATGCCTGCAGCAAGAAATTGTGGAGGGAGCTTTAGAGGGTTAGTCTTTATAGAATGTAATTCCAGATAAGGAATGTTTAGGTTTAGTCCCATAATGGGTTTGATTAAACTAGATGTCTTTGTAAAGATGCTGGTCTTGACAACATACAGTACTTTATTATGAAAGACAACACAATACAGTATGATGGGCTTCCTAACATTGGATTGGACATTATTATGTAGTAGTGTAAAATCAGCTATTTGGTTTTAGAGGATGTTTTTTTACTGTCACATACACTGGATAGGTGCAGTGAAATCTGTTGTTTTACAGGGTCAGCCATAGTAGAACAGTGCCCCTTGTTCAAGGACACATCTGCAAATTTTTCATCTTGTCGGCTCTGGCATTTGAACCAGCGACATTTCGGTCCTTTAATCGATAGTTGTTAGAGTGCTCCATTAGTTGGTGTTGGGTGGATGCATTATTAGGCCTCTTTCAGTTGCTGGGAATGGATTTGATATGGCCAGTTTAACTCCATGAGTTACTGTGACCCTGGCGTCTCCAAGTGTCATATTTGTCTAAATAGACTTGTACTGAGTTAAATGTTCTCCTTCAACATTGAGCCTAATGTCTCGGCTGGTTGAGTGTATAATGTCAGTTAGCTGCAGGGCTTGGTGAAGCCAGTCTTATGACTTGTCTGATTAGAACGTTCTGTATGCAGTGTTTGTTGTTTGGAGGCTGTTTCCTGCTCTTTGTTGGGGGTATATAAGAGGCCTAGATAGCCCAGCCCCAAAAGATCAACCGGAGGACTCAGGAGCAGAACAAACACTACATACTATAGACCAGTAGAAGGAATAGCTTAGAGATTTTCAATCCTGACCAGCTCCATACAGACCAGGGAACCAGTACACACATAATATCGTGTACAGCATCTTGTATATGACTGTTGTACTTCTCTAGACATCCCAAAAACCTTCTACCTTCTGTGTTGTCAAGTATCATTGTAATCAGTGAAAACGACGTTAGGGTGACCTTTTACAGACGTAGTGTGCCTAGCAGCCGTGAGCCCCTGTTGAGAGCCAGGGGTCGTCTGTTCTCCTGACCTGTAGGCAGTTATCAGAGGACATGAATAAGGTTCAGGGCGAGCTGAGTGAGCGAGAGCAGCAGATGCTGCGTATACGGAGAGACAGTGTCACGAAGGCCTTCCAGCTCTCCAAGATGGAGAAGATGCTAGCCGAGACCAGAGGAAAGCTGGACAAGAAGACTGAGCCTGGTACGGAAAGTAAAGGGAGGGACAACCGGGACGACATGGGTCTGTATCAATATCCTTACTCTAATTCACTTCAGTTTCTTCTCTGAACTGCATGAGCACTCCATGGTTTTTGTGCTGTGGATAAACTATCACGCAAGGATTAAATCATTCAAATGTAGTTAATATGATAGTGCATGTGCCCTTGATTTTATAGACAGTGTCCAAGTATCTACTTTTGATAGTGTATGTTTTGGCATGAGACCATGTCATCAAATGACTCTTCTGAGTACTGTCTTTGTTCTGGACTGATGCTCTCCCTGTGTATTTTAGCAGCTCTTAGATTTGTTTTGTGTCTCTGAATGTCTGTGTCTTAAGGGGCCGGTTTCCAGGACACAGATTACGCCTCGTTCTGGACTATAATGCATGTCAGATTTTAGTCAAGGACTAAGCTTAATCTGGGTCCAGGAAACTGGCTCAAAATGTTAGCTCTCCCTCGGAGTGACTGTTTCTGACCTTGTTCTTTTCTGGGCCTTGTCCGGTGCAGTCCAGGACCTGGAGGATAAGGTGCGTTTCACCAGGAGAGACAGGAGGAACTCCCTGCACCGCACCCAGCTGCTGGAGAGCCAGATGAAGACAGTGAAGGGAGAGCTGGTGGACACACTGGACCACCTGCAGGAGCTGCGAGACAGGCTGAGACGTTCACAGGCCAACGCAGAGCAGCGCAAAGTTGACATGGAGAAACTGCAAGCAGGGATGAGGTGAGCCAACAACCCCAATGGTCCTGGCCCAATGTGCAGGGGCAGAGGCTCCTTCAGTCCTCTCCTATCCCCACAACCACTTGGTTCTTGGTACTCTGACCTCCCTTGGTACCTGCTTCACTCTTTTTCACCAATGGGGCCAGAACACCTCAATCTTGACGACAAAGCTGAATCCAAAGACTTTTTAAACTGTAACAAATGTATATTGCCTCTTTACAGTTTGTACTACTCCCAAAACTTTGGAAATACTTATCTACTTTGCTTTTACTCAGTTCTTGCTTTTCACTTCCCACAAACTGCTTTTGTGACTTGATTGTCGTTGGGGGTTGATAAACACTGAACTTCTGTTAGCTCCTATTCCCAGCACTGTATTCCCTGTCCATGTTGTGTGAAAACTCGGAGCCAGACCAGAATGTAAATTACCTAAAGACTGTGCTACACGCCAATGGGAAAGAAGCAAAAAAATATGATAACTGTAGTTATCTGTTTTTAACTTGTCTTAAATTGAGATAAACTTGTGCAACACTGTGTTGCTTGTGGTGTACTATTGTCAAGGGTTGTCAAAGTTTATTATGTACATAAATACATTTTCCAGGGGACGAAGACTGAACAACTCTGAGACAATGATGGCTGATAAACAACACTGATCCCCCCCGGTTGTCATATATCACTTGGAGTTAATGGTCAGTGATAAACTGGTTTTGGGGTGTCTGTTGGTGCTGTTTCAAACACACCTTCTGTGAAACAGCAGCAGCCCATAAAGATGGTGTAACAAAGTTCAACTTGTGATAATTCACTTTTTTATAAGGTCAAGTATCATTGACCTCATTACATCCTTGCCTGTTTTCCAGTTCCAATTCATACAGTATGAAAAGAAAACAGTCTGTTTTATTGGGGGATTTTCCATCGTGAAACTAAGCAGTGCCTGTTTCAGTTGAAAATGTTTAGTGCCAAGATGTAAATTCAGCCAAGATGTAACACTACTTGTATTATAAGATGAAAGGCACAAATGAATTCCTATTTTTTTGTCAGACAGATTATAAATGGGTGACTTGGCAACCTCTACTGTTCCTGTGTCTTGTTGTCACATGGATGTGACCACTGAACTTGACAGGTTGCTATGGAAACTATTGTATTATCAGCTATCTTACCACAGTTACCTTGAGTACACTGCAGAGAGCTATGGGAGCTGCCCGCAAAAGCAGCAGTCTGTAATGTATTACATGTGTATTAAAACGTAAACATTATGTTTTCACTGACTCATTTTTTTCTGTACCATACATATATTGTTGTATCACAACCAGGTTCTGAACGAGGCTATATCCATTTATGGTGTTGTTTGGTACATTCTATGTACTTTCCCCCAAACTACAGGGCAGCATCGTTGCTACATGAATGGTTCATGTGTTTCTAACAGCAGCAGGGATAATTTGTCCGACTGTGTCCCAAATGCCTCCCTATTCCCTATATAGTGTACTACTTTGACCAAAGCCCTATGGGCCCTGATCCAAAGTAGTGCACTATATAGGGAAAATGGTGCCATTCTGCATGCAGCGTCTTTCTGTTTATCTGGTCTGTTCCCTCAGGTGAGTGTCAGCTGAGTGTCTCTGAAGCAGCACTCATGTTCTAACTCTTAGCCCGTGGCAAAGATGTGATCAGACTAGATGTAGCATTGTGGTTTTCCCCACACAGACAGCATCACATGCTAGGAAGCTATTGGCTATGGCTATCATCTGCTGTTCTGTCCATGATCAAAACCCAAATCACTGATGTTCTTGTACAGTTAGGCTATTGCTCTTCTCTGTTGATCAACACTTTTGGCCCCTACTGTGTTCATGTTTAGTGTGTATGTGTGCATGCAAACACAATGTGTGCGTGTCATTGAGTATCTATGAGCTCTGCATGTGTGTGTATGTTTCTCCAGGGACATACAGAGTCAGTTGGAGGAGACATGTAGGGAGTTGGATTAGAAGAAACAAGAGGTTATAGTCAAAGATACAGAACTTAAGGAAAGACAGGAGGAACTTCAACTAAAAGCACTTCAGGTGCAGCAGAGCAACACACACACCTATTTCATACCTGGTTTATTATTTATTCAAAGATGATAAAAGGTTGCTCACTATAGTTTCCCACATCAACACATCATTTGAGCATATAATGATTGTGATTCTTTCTGTAGCTCAGTAAGTTAGAGGCTGCACTAGAGTCACACTCAGGAGATGCAGCATAAACTCATTCTCCAACAGGGGGCGGTGGATATCTCCCAGAGAAAAGCCAAGGAGAGGACCAACCAGGTTGACTACATCACATCTCATCTGAGTTAACATCACTCACTAATCATCTGAGTAGCCCTTTCTGTCAATCAGCATCACATGCAACAAGGTTCTGATAGTTGAAATATATGTACACTACCAGTCAAAAGTTTTAGAACACCTACTCATTCAAGGGTTTTTCTTTATTTGTACTATTTTCTACACTGTAGAATAATAGTGAAGACATCAAAACTATGAAATAACACATATGGAATCATGTAGTAACAAAAAAAAGTGTTAAACAAATCAAAATATGTTATATTTGAGATTCTTCAAATAGCCATCCTTTGTCTTAATGACAGCTTTGCAAACTCTTGGCAGCTTCACCTGGAATGCTTTTCCAACAGTCTTGAAGGAGTTCCCACATATGATGAGCACTTGTTGGCTGCTTTTCCTTCACTCTGCGGTCCGACTCATCCTAAACCATCTCAATTTGGTTGAGGTAGGGGGATTGTGGAGGCCAGGTCATCTGATGCAGCACTTGATCACTCTCCTTCTTGGTCAAATAGCCCTTACATTTACATTTACATTTACGTCATTTAGTAGACCCTCTTATCCAGAGCGACTTACAAATTGGTGCATTCACCTTATAGCCAGTGGGATAACCACTTTACAATGTTTATTTATTTATTTATTTTTTTGGGGGGGGGGGGGGGTAAGGGGGGGATTGAAGGATTACTTTATCCTATCCCAGGCATTCCTTAAAGAGGTGGGGTTTCAAGTGTCTCCGGAAGGTGGTGAGTGACTCCGCTGTCCTGGCGTCGTGAGGGAGCTTGTTCCACCATTGGGGTGCCAGAGCAGCGAACAGTTTTGACTGGGCTGAGTGGGAAATGTGCTTCCACAGAGGTAGGGGGGCCAGCAGGCCAGAGGTGGATGAACGCAATGCCCTCGTTTGGGTGTAGGGACTGATCAGAGCCTGAAGGTACGGAGGTGCTGTTCCCCTCACAGCTCCATAGGCGAGCACCATGGTCTTGTAGCAGATGCGAGCTTCAACTGGAAGCCAGTGGAGTGTGCGGAGGAGCGGGGTGACGTGAGAGAACTTGGGAAGGTTGAACACCAGACGGGCTGCGGCATTCTGGATGAGTTGTAGGGGTTTAATGGCACAGGCAGGGAGCCCAGCCAACAGCGAGTTGCAGTAATCCAGACGGGAGATGACAAGTGCCTGGATTAGGACCTGTGCCGCTTCCTGTGTAAGGCAGGGTCGTACTCTCCGAATGTGAACCGAGCATGAACCTACAGGATCGGGTCACCGCCTTGATGTTAGCGGAGAACGACAGGGTGTTGTCCAGGGTCACGCCAAGGCTCTTCGCACTCTGGGAGGAGGACACAACGGAGTTGTCAACCGTGATGGTGAGATCATGGAACGGGCAGTCCTTCCCCGGGAGGAAGAGCAGCTCCGTCTTGCCAAGGTTCAGCTTGAGGTGGTGATCCGTCATCCACACTGATATGTCTACCAGACATGCAGAGATGCGATTCGCCACCTGGTTATCAGAAGGGGGAAAGGAGAAGATTAGTTGTGTGTCGTCTGCGTAGCAATGAAAGGAGAGGCCATGTGAGAATATGACAGAGCCAAGTGACTTGGTGTATAGCGAGAATAGGAGAGGGCCTAGAACTGAGCCCTGGGGGACACCAGTGGTGAGAGCACGTGGTGCGGAGACAGCTTCTCGCCACGCCACTTGGTAGGAGCGACCGGTGAGGTAGGACGCAATCCAAGAGTGAGCCGCGCCGGAGATGCCCAGCTCGGAGAGGGTGGAGAGGAGGATCTGATGGTTCACAGTATCAAAGGCAGCAGACAGGTCTAGAAGGACAAGAGCAGAGGAGAGAGAGTTAGCTTTAGCAGTGCGGAGAGCCTCCGTGACACAGAGAAGAGCAGTCTCAGTTGAATGACCAGTCTTGAAACCTTACACAGCCTGGAGGTGTGTTGGGTCATTGCCCTGTTGAAAAACAAATGATAGTCCCACTAAGCGCAAACCAGATGGGATGGCGTATTGCTGCAGAACACTGTGGTAGCCATGCTGGTTAAGTGTGCCTTGAATTCTAAATAAATCACAGACAGTGCCACCAGCAAAGCACCCCCACACCATAACACCTACTTTCCATGCTTTCCGGTGGGAAATACACATGTGGAGATCATCCGTTCACCCACACCGCATCTCACAAAGACACAGCGGTTGGAACCAAAAATCTAAAATTTGGACACCAGACCAAAGGACAAATTTCCACCGGTCTAATGTCCATTGTTCGTGTTTCTTGACCCAAGCAAGTCTCTTGTTCTTATTGGTGTCCTTCAATAGTGATTTCTTTGCAGCAATTCGACCATGAAGGCCTGATTCACACAGTCTCCTCTGAACAGTTGATGTTGAGATGTGTCTGTTACTTGAACTCTGTGAAGCATTGATATGGGCCGCAATTTCTGAGGCTGGTAACTCTAATGAACTTATCCTCTGCAGCAGAGGTAACTCTGGGTCTTCCATTCCTGTGGCGATCCTCTTGAGAGCCAGTTTCATCATAGCGCTTGATGGTTTTTGCGACTGCATTTGAAGAAACTTTCAAAGTTCTTGAAATGTTCCGTATTGACTGACCTTCATGTCTTAAAGTAATGATGGACTGTTGCTTCTCTTTACTTATTTGACTTGGTCTTTTACCAAATAGGGCTATCTTCTGTATACCACCCCTACCTTGTCACAACACA